TTTGCACTGAGACCTGAGTGAAGCGAAGGAGAGAGAATTGTCGCTATCTACCGGAAGAGCTGGGCAGTGGGAACAGCAAGTGTAACGGCCGTGAGGTGGATGGTCCCTGGGTGGCACAAACAGTTTGTGTTCAGCAAACCCACCCAGCAGTTCGAACCCACCCAGCGAACTGAGGAAGAAACAGGCTTGGCGATCTGCTGCTATAAAGATTTCAGCCAAGAAAACCCTGTGGAGCAATTCTCCTCTGTAATACAGGGCATCTCCTAAGTCCCAAATCAACAACAAACACGAAATCAACAACAAAGGCCATTGAGTGGAAGCACGCCCGGCACAGGGGACACACAGAGGCCTGGGTGGTGGGGTAGAATGAGCCTGGGAAAGAGCTGAAGGAGATAAGGTCAGGGAGATGGTGGGGCGGGATGGTGTGTGGTGACTCTGTACTGTAAGCATGATGGTTAAGCAACATGGCAGACAGAGATGGATGGATCTGCATCTGAACTCTAGCCCTGCCTTCATTTATCAGTTGTATATAATCTTGAGCAGGTGACTTACCCTGTTTTATCTCATTTCAGTTCATTAAAATGGGGTAAGGATATCGATCTCATAAAGTTGACACAGTGGCTGCAACGATGGGCTCCAACACAGCTACTATGGTGAGGATGGCACAGGACTGAGCAACATTTCATTCTGTTAGACCTGGGGTTGCTATGAGTCGGAACCAGCTTGGCTGCTCAACAAAAGGTTGGCGGTTGGAACCCACCGACTGTCTTCGGGATGAGGATGTGGCCATCTGCTTCCGTAAAGATGTACAGCCTTGGAACCCCTATGGGGCAGTTCTGCTCTGTCCTGCAGGGTCACTATGAGTCAGAATTGACTCAACGGCAGTGGGTAAGTTTGGGTACTTACTACTTTACAGATATTCTCAATTTTAACCCTTTTGCCAACCTTGCTGTTGTTCCAGAACAAAAAAACCCTTTGCCATTGAGTTGATTCCAACTCATAGACAGAGTAGAACCGCCCCATAGCGTTTCCAAGGAGCACCTGGTGGATTCAAACTGCTGACCTTTCGGTTAGCAGTCGAATTCTTAACCACTATGCCACTAGGATGATTCGATGTACAGATGAGTATCCCCATTTTACAAGTGAGGAATTGAAGGTACAAAGAGGTCCTTTAACTGGCCCAAAAACCCTCACCTGGTAAGCATCAGAGCCAAAACTAGAATTCAGGTCTGTCTGATCTAAACCCCTGGCTCTTTCCCAATGCCCCACACAGTGTCTAGAAAACTGATACCATCTGAATCCGCAGGCCCAGGTCGCAAAGGCTGGAAATGGGGCCTGGAGGCTGAAAGTGGGAAGGGGGGGCAGTATTCTCTGGGGGTAGGTGACTCCTTGTACCTCCACACATACGTCACACAAATATACACACACCTCAGTCCCAGAAATTCCCTTGAAACAGCCTCTGAGGTCTGCCCTCACAGCAACTCTTGGCCCAGAAAAGTGGGGTATGGAAGGTTCTTTTCTGTGGAACCCCGTACAGCCTCAGCCTAAAATCGATAGAGGAACCTTCCCTTGCTCATCTCTCTCAGCTCATTTGAGGGTGAAGGGAGTTCTTAGAGAAGAGCTCCTCACAGGCCATTTGGTGCAGGCCCGGTTGTCACACAGGGCCTCCAATGCAGACTCCTGATGTTATCTCCAAATGCAGTTACAGTCCGTCACTCCGTGACTCCCTGACAGAACTTAAAGACAGAATTGACCATACAATTGATTTAACTTTTACTATGGCATTTTCAATTATACGCAAAAGTGAGAAAAGTAGTATAATTGATCTAATATGCCCGTTATCATAGAACTTTAAATCATAAAATAGGGCCTGCCGCCCTCTATGAATAAAATGTTTCTATAAATCCTATTATTATCTTGTGAAAAGCACAATTATATGGTATTACACTTTTGTCTTATAAGTGTTAATTTGTTAAATGTAAGCACTTCAAACATGTCTCAGTTTTTCTTCATTTTCCTGCCGGTGATCAGGAAGCAGTGGTTGGCACTTTGCCAGTCACCCCAGGTAATAGGAGTCCCGAACTCTAGGGCCAACTAGCAGGTCTCTTTCTGCCTCCAAAGGAGCTCAACCAAATAGCATTTACAGTGCAACCTCGGCGTGGCCCGCTCAATCTCGCCCCGTGGGGTGTGGTTTGGGAGCCTGATCCTGGCCTGGATCCATGAGGAACTTCCAGTCTTCTGGGAGAGAGACAAAGTACCTGAAGCAGAGCAATTAAGTGCCACCAGTGGTGCCAGCACAGGGTTTACGCCATTGTTTGCTTAGGTGGCAGCTCTCGGAGTGAGCCTAAGTCAAGGAGGAGTGCGCACTGGGCAGGCCAGCCCGGAGGTCCCCGAGGGCAGGGCCTCCGGCTTCCCATTCTTCCGTGGTTCCCACAGTGCCCGGCGGCTCGGCTCACAATGAGTTTCAATGCTTGCTTTTGACTGAACCTTTCCCCCTTTGTATCTGTCTCTGTGTCTCTCAGCATCTCTGTCTCTCCAAGTCTCTGGTTCCCTCTTGTTTCCCAACATCCTTCCCGAGCCCCTGGGGAGCAGGCTGGGGGGACTGGGCAGTGGGAACGGGACAGCGTCCTGTTCTCACCAAGGACAATAAGGGCCGGAAAGGGCTGGAGCCAAGGCCTGGCGCGACTCCCCCTCCCTGCCCGCCCTGGCGCCCCTACTCCCTGCCCTGACCCTCTGGCGTGCCCTAGGTGCCAGGCGAGCCCTCGCAGTGGTGCCTCGGCTCGGGTCGGGCGCCTCCCGGCCCTGGGCTGCCCCTTCGCACCGCCCTCTGGTGGGGAAGGCATCACCTTTCACAAGAAGCGCCTCCTGGGCCAGGAGCTCCCCAGGACACCTTCCCAGCAGCCTCCCCACTCGCGTCCACAGCCCCCCTCCTGTATTATTTACTCCTGTTTCCGGAGCTGCCGGCGAGTGCCGGCGGGTGTCAGGGCCGCGTGTGAGGGAGCAGGAGGAAACATCTGGCTTCCCTCTGGCCTCAGGGGTGGGTGGGGACCGCCCCTCTCTCCCTTAGGCTTCCAGCCTCTGGGATGGAGCAGAGGCCTGGGGCAGAGTAGCCAGAAGGTTAGCACCTTTGCCCTTCTCACCCTCGGTCTCCGGAAGCCGTGATGTCCTCGCACCCCTTAATGATGGTGATTAGGTGGCTGTGATACCCTTGCCAGGGTTAATTAGCGGGTCAGGCACAAGCAGCCTGCAACTAGGCACCCCAGGGATAGGCTGGGTGGAGAGTCTGTCAGCCCCAACCTGCCTTGTAAATGCATCCGGGTGCCCAGGCAGTGGGTGGCTGCAGGAGCCTCCTCACCCTCCCCCAGCCACAGAGGTGACGCTCACTGCCACCCAAGCCAGCTCTCTTAATGGAAGGCTTGGTGCCCCGGGTAGCCAGTTCCCCAGGCTGTCTGTGTCCTGGGCTAGGACCTGGCCCTCTGCCCACTGTTCCCAGCCCGGGTCAGGAGGAGAAAAATTAAGGTTAGAGAAAGTGAGACCTAGAACTAACCCAGTCTCTCCACAGATCCAGGGCCACTCAATTTAATCCCAAAGCGATTTTGGACAAACTCCTCTTCTCCCCTAGAGGGTCTTCCCTTCTGGCACACCCCTCCCCCTCATCATCACCAGGTGAGCTGGAGCCTAGAACTGCCATTTTCTCTCAGGGAGGCTCTGGTCTCCATTAACTTTGTCTGCTTCCACTCCTAGCCCAGAGGGTGAAGATGGGGCTTCAGCCCTCCTAACTGGGCCAGTCTTTTGGGTCCTCCAAGGTTGGTGTCCACAGTCAGGAGCCAATAGCTCCTCTCCGTAACCCTCGAGCTCGCAAGCTTACGCCAGGTGTTGCTGGTCTTCTGCAGTCAGGTTTAGACACGTAAGCGTGAGCTCGCGGCGCCCTCTGCAGGCAGACAGCCAAACTGCATAACACTCCCTCAGCCCGAGTAGCTGGACAAGGTTACCGGGTATTGGCCGCAAACGGGAGAGATGCCTCTAATCCTTGACCCCGACTTTTTTCACTTATTCCTTCATCTTCACTGAGTTTTCTTCCCCACCTTAGGTATCTCCCATGCACAGGATTCCATCCTGGAAGGGGAAGTTCTTTCATTCAACCAAGCCACTGGCTTTTACTGCCCATACCAGGCACCGTGAGGAATACAAAGCTGACCGGGGCACCGTGCCCACCCTAAGGCCCACCCCATTCAGCAGGAGAGAGGGCGCCTCGGTGCCTCCAAGGATAGGCATGCTGGACAGAGGCGCGCCTCACGGCAGAGCACTGACAGGGCAGGGCCTGAGCAGCCACCTTCTGTTTCCAAGAAAACAGACTGGCTCAGAGGTGGGTAGCCTTGCTCCATTGTTTTACGTACTTTGCAGAAATTTAGGATGTTCCTAATTTCTTGGCTATGAGACACAGGAGAAAAATGAAGGCATGAGAACAGGGAGGGCGGGGCAGGGATCAACCCGGGAGTCTTTCTCAACACAGGCACATATACATTCTCCAGTAGGGAACTCCCCTATAGGGACTTGGAGCAGAAGGGGCAGGAGGCTCATTTGCTGAGAGTGGGGAGTTGGATAACAGAGCACCCACAGGTGGCAAATGGAACCCCATGGCACAGTGTTGGGGTGACAGACCTTTCCTCTTCCTACTTTTCTGTCCCAAGATCTAGTCCAGTTCTGATGGGCAGGACTCTGCACTGCGGCCTTTTCCACTTTTCCTAGGGGTCAAGGCCACAGGTCATCTGTGCCCTCATCTTCCATGATAAGAGTCTCACACAAGCACATGTCATTCCAGGACCTGGCAATGTGCCTGGCACTGATGGTATTCAATAAACGTTTGGTAAATGAACCCTGGAGGTAAGGTCCCACCGCCCTAAGGTCTGAAAACCGCAGGTGCCCACTACACCAAAGATCCTTCATGCCCAGGCAGGCATCGGCAGATGAGGCCCACCACGTATCACAGCTCACACAACTACAACGAATCAACTTTATTGGACATTCAGGGTCAGTTTCTCTTCTTGCCCTTGCCCGTGACCTTGGCTGGTGTGAGGACTGGAGCTGTTGCCTGGTACAGGGTGGAAGAGATCTTGTTGATGTAGTACAGACCAACCATGGAGAAGATGAAGCTACAGGGTGAAGACAGGAAGGGAGTCACATCATCAGTGCTCATGCTGCCAGCTGGCACCCCCTAGGGCAGATACCAGCATGAGGGAAAGAATCCAGGTTCAGGTTTAGGAAACTGGGGAAGGACAAAAGAGGGAGAGAGAGGGTGAGGGAACTATGGGAAAGAAGGCCTGGGAGGATCCCGTGCCAAAGGCCAGGGCGCTGCATCCCTTACCCAGCTGTCAGGCACCTACCAGGTGGTGACGCAGACTCGGTGGATGAGGCCGGATGCGAAGAGAGCCAACAGGAGGCAGAGGAGAACTAGGGAGGCGAAAGGGGATGAGAAGAGCAGCGGTCAGAATGGCAATAGCAGGCATCCATATGTAGAGTCCAAGAGAGATATGAGGCCCTCTGAATCGTGGGGGACCTGCTTGGAGGGGTGGGCTGTGACAACGGCAACAGGGCCTCAGGTGGCCCTAATGACGCCCAGGACATGGAGGGGACAGATGCTCTTCACTTAACGTCCCTAGCCTGGCTTTCCTCACCTAGAGAGGACAGGTAACAATGAAGCCTGAAGAGCTGGGCTTGCTCCTCTCAGAAGGAGAGAGAGGGTTAAGGCCTTTGTAACAGAAGCCAGCCAGCGGGAATCAATTCAGTAAACTGGCCAGCTAGTGGTGGACACTGAGGGCCTTCCTCCCTGGACACATCAGAGGGCAATGTCGGGATACACTCTCCCAGCAGGGCAGGAAAGGATCTCAAAAACATCCAGGGTAAGACAGAGAGAAGGCGAGAGGGGAGTAAACAAGGGCAAACAGGGCCTGTCCTGCCCAGGTGGGGAGGGCAGAGCAGGGCAGGACAAGAGGGCCAGACACCTTGCCCCGCAGCAACGGTTTCTTTCCAACACACACCAAGACACTACACCTGGGGACAAAATCCAAGAGCGACATCCTGGGGTTAGGAACGCAAGAAGCCCTGGAAGTCTGCAACAGGGTTAGGTGGGGAGAGCAAGGCCGAGACGACAGTGAAGGGCTGAGAGCAAGTGACAAGTCTGCGTTTTACAAGATGAAACTTTCCCACGAGGCTGCATCTGCTGTGAGTTTCTGTGTATGTAGCATTTCTTAGGTGACCTTAAATCTCCATAAATAACTAAATCATCAATTCTCTCTTAATCTGACAGTTATGCTAGCTTGGTCAGGATTCCTGCTGCCGCAGAAATGTGGTTAATCTCTTATGCAGGCTCCTCAGAGTCACTTCAAATAGAGAATTCACAAATAGTGGCTCAAGAAGAGTCAATTTCACATCAGAACCCCTCACTAAATTCAGTCCTGCTTCTTCTGGTGAGGTCAGAGGACACCTCCCCTTGGACAGATGGAAAGCATCAGCCCAACCTTGCCTGTTCCCCTCAAACCTTCCCTGGGAACTGGCCAGAGGTAATCTGTTTCCTGCTTTCAGAGACCTCCAATTCCAAGAGCCTCATATGTCTTCAGACAGCTTTAGTAAGCATATTTTCTTCCTCTAAATAACCTCTGAAGTCCCTACGTGGCACAATGGTTAAGTGCTGAACGAATTGAAAAGCTGGTGGTTTAAACTCACCAAAAGGTACCTCGGAAGACAGGCATGGCCATCTGTTTCCAAAGGCCACAGCCTTGAAAATCCTATGGGGCAGTTCTACTCTGCACCCATGAGGCCACCGTTAGTCAGAATCTACTCGAAGGCAACTTCCAACAAACCACCTTTACAATCTAAGCACCTGGAAATTCCATATTGTGTTGTGGGGGGTTACAAAGGAGAGGGCTCCTTAGGGATTGAATTGTGTCCCCCAGAAATATGTGTTGTAAATCGTAATCTCTACGCCTGTGGTTATAATCCCACTTGGGAATGGAGACCTGGTGGCACAGTGGTTAAGAGGTTGGCTACTAACCAAAAGGTTGGCAGTTCGAATCCACCAGATGCTCCTTGGAAAGTCTGTGGGGCAGTTCTACTCGGTCCTATAGGGTTGCTACGTCTGAAACAACTTGACGGCAACGGGTTTTTTTAATGAGTTGGAATCGACTCATCGGCAACGGGGTTAGTTTTTTTTTATGCCTGTGGTTATAATCCCATTTGAGAATGGGTTTTCTTTGCTATGTTAATGAGGCAGGGTTAGTTTAGGGTGTATCTTGAGTCAATCTCTTTTGAGATATAAACAAAAGATTAAAGGAAAGCTAATAAGCAGAGACGGGGAAGAGAGATGCCAAGTCACATGCAGATCGCCCAGAAGCACAAGCTCAGAAGAGACAAGGACCTTCCTCCAGAGCTGGCAAAGACAGAAAGCCTTCTCCTAGAGCCAGCACCCTGAATTCGGACTTCTAGCCTCCTAACTGTGGGAAAATAAGTTTGTTTGTTAAAGCCACTTGCGCTATTTCTATTATAGCAGCAGTAGATAACTAAGACAGGGTTAAAACCTCTCAATTTTCACTTACTCTCGGGGAAGATCTTTGCTTGGAATCCTTTGCCAAAGACAAGATTCTCCAGATTATTGAAGGCCTGGGTTGAGGGAGTTAAGGAGCAGGGCGAGGACTGGAAGCAGAGCAGTGTGGATAACGTGAAGGGCACAAGCCCGTGTGGCTCTCCACTCTTCCGACCCTCCAACACCCGTCCCCGCTCCGCCTCAAGGAGGATACAGTGAGGGAGAAGACGAAGAGGCCGGAGCCAAGCAGGCCCCCCTGGATGGTGAGCCACTCTGTGGAGGCCAGCTGGCGGCTGTACATCTGCATCCCAGCGAAGAGCAGCAGGGACAGGAGGGAGGAGAGCGCCAGCGACGTGCCCGTACCCACCACTGGAAGGGATGGGAAGAGGGACGGAGTCAGGCCCAGCCCCGCCTCCAGGAGCCGCAAGCGGGTTCGGCCGGTGCCGGAGCTCGGTGGGCCGAGCACTTCCAAGCATTCCCGGGACTGCAGCCACACTCAACTCCCCACACCTCTCGGCGACCCCCAGGTACTCCCCAGCCCTGGACGCCCAGAACCCTTCCATCCCAAGGAAATGCCCGCTCCCTGGAACCAGGACACGTCAGCTCTGCGGGGAGCAGACGGGGAAAGCCGGAGCGCCCCGACTTGGACCCCCGCTAGTCCGCCTCGGGGATCCCGCCAGTCCCATTACCCATCGCGCCCCGCCTGCGGGTCCAATCGGTGCCGCTAGCCAAGAAAGAGCGGGAGCGGAACCGGTGTGTAGTTAGCCGTGCGCAGGCGTCAGCACGAACGCAGCCTTGCTTGCCCGTCTTCCTCTTTCTCGCTCTCGGCGCCTGGACGCAGCGCCCTCTATCGGAGGGGAGGAAATAATGCGTCGAAGAGCATCTTGGGCCACCGCCCTGGTCCCCCGCCTTTCCCAGTACCCAGTGCATCTGCAGCTCCTCGGTGCAAGCTGCACTTAATCCCTTCAAGTCACTGGGCCCCGTGGCTCATAGCCTCCAGTCCATCTCAGTCCACCTCAGTCTACCTCTGTCTTGTTTGCCATTTATGTCTCCTCCAGAGACTGTTTCTTAAACCTCCATCCCCCATGACCACTGCCTCAACATCTCCCCTGGACTCTTGCCCAATCCAAAATCCAGGGCTCACACCCTGGAGCCCATCTTCCTCTGAAACTAGCCTACCGTTTTACATTACTAAGATTAGAGTCCAACGAAGAATGCGAACATAAGAAATGGCTCCCCCCTCAAATACTCTACCATGTTACCCAACCCCACGACCGCCTTCGGAGAGCCACGTGGGGAGAACTATTTCCCACCCCCTACCCGGACGAGCGCAGTTCGAGGCTAGTCCCTGGAGCATGCGCAGAAACACCTCGCCCTCACCCCTCCCCACACCCCCACCGGGTTCCTGCATTGAGCCCAGGGTTCGCAGCCGCAGCCGGGATCCGGTACCCGGGGGCGTGCTGGCGGCGGCGGGCACGGGAGGGCCATGGCTGAGGGTGATAATATGCAGACCTTCACTTCCATCATGGATGCACTGGTCCGCATCAGTGTGAGTTAACGCGGGGTCGAGGGAAGGGGGGGTACAGGGGTCCGGGGCAGGCCGGGGCCTTGAACAGGTGGGGATCCGGGAAGATGATGGGATGTAGACAGGGGTCTGATGATGGCGGAAATCGGGATGCAGGTGTGAGAGAGTAATCCCGGGGCAGCTCGGAGGTGAGCGACGCGAAGGCGCCCGTCTACTGGGGTGCGAGGAGCAAGGAGCTGCCCAGACGCGGCAGGTGGGCTGGGGTAGCCGCCAGCTGTGCACGGTGGCTGGGTCTGCAGGGGAAAGGGGCTATGCTACGAGCAGGGGGCGTTGTGTGAGCTTGGAAAATTTAACACCGAGAACAGGTGGGGTGCGATGAAGGACCCTCCCCAGGGTGTTGTCCCCAATTTGTACCCTCCCCGAGACCCCACCCCACCGCACCCCCACTCAAGACTGCCACGGAGCCTGCGGTTGTCATGACAACCCATGCCCGGCTCTCCCAGGGGCGGTGCCAACCCTGCTCCCCCCACCACTTCCTTCCCCCTCCCTCCCTGTCCCTCCCTCCTTTGTGTCAGCTGCGCCCCTGACAGGGATGGCTACGAAGAGAGGGACCAAGGTGAGGGGTGGGGGGTGGGGCATAGCCTGCGGGCCCCAGCCTCCAAAAAGGGGAGGGGGTACTTCCGGTGGGGAGGGGGCGAGCAGGCGGGACGCTTGTCTCCCCCTGGCTTGGGGAGGGGGGGTTGTCGCTAGCCAGGTTGCGCTGGGGGAGGGGGCAGGAGGGCCAGAGGGTGGGGGCGAAGGAAACTGGGTTGGTATGGGGGACCGGAGGAGGCAGATAGGGAAGGGAAAGATGGGGAATGGTGGTTGGGGCGGCCGCAGGCCGAAGCCGCGGCCGGAGGACTGATGGGGCGAGCTGGAGAATGGAGAGCAAGCGGCGTGTGGCTATGGGGAGGAGTCACGCGGGGGGCTGTAGAGAAGGGGGCGGGGGTCCGCACCGATCTGCAAAATGGGCGGTGTCCTTGAGAGTAGCGCCGGGGGCGGGCTGCCCGGAGATGGGGGGATGGGGCAACGGCCAGGTGAGGGCGGGGGTTCGTGCTGGGCTACCGCAGCAAATTGAAGGGGGTGGGGCTGGGGGAGGCAGGAGCTCCAACCATCCCTGCTCCGTGGGCCTATGGCTCTGCAGGAGGACAACAGAGAAAGAGAGGGCTGGGAAGGTCTGAGAGAGGCAGGTGGTGGGGAAAGGCAGTAGCTCACTTGTCTTGCCTCTTTCTGAGACCCTTAGGGTCTCTAAGGGCAGCTGAGGGCCTTGCCGAGACATGCCCAGGTGTCCAAGCTCTGACCCCCCTTCCTGGTCCTTCCACAGACGAGCATGAAGAACATGGAGAAGGAACTCCTGTGCCCAGTGTGTCAAGAGATGTACAAACAGCCACTGGTGCTGCCCTGTACCCACAACGTATGCCAGGCCTGTGCCCGGGAGGTGCTGAGCCAGCAGGGCTACCTAGGCCATGGTGGGGACCCCAACTCCGAGCCTACCTCTCCTGCTTCTACCCCTTCCACCCGCAGCCCCCGCCTTTCCCGAAGAACTCTCCCCAAGTCAGACCGCCTGGACCGAATGCTTAAGTCAGGTGGGGCTGGGGTCTGTGAGGTGGGGGTGGAGGGTACTGGGATGCCTATCGGGAAGATAGAAGGGGTCCGTCACTGGTCAGGGGCATCTGTCTGTCTTTCCTGGGTGGAGATAACTGCTTATCCAGGCTTTAATGAGAACTGAGCTCTGGCACAATACAAATCTAGTTTTTTAATTGAAATAGACTTGCCCCCACCCCAGCCAGCTGTAACTCTATCTTCCTGGCCCATCCACAGGCTTTGGGACATACCCTGGGCGGAAACGAGGCGCTTTGCACCCCCAGGTGATCATGTTCCCGTGCCCAGCCTGCCAGGGTGATGTGGAGCTGGGGGAGCGGGGCCTGGCAGGCCTTTTCCGGAACCTGACTCTGGAGCGTGTGGTGGAGCGGTACCGCCAGAGTGTGAGTGTAGGTGGTGCCATCCTGTGCCAGCTGTGCAAACCCCCTCCACTCGAGGCCACCAAGGGCTGTACCGAGTGCCGCGCCACCTTCTGCAACGAGTGCTTCAAGCTCTTTCACCCCTGGGGCACCCAGAAGGCCCAGCATGAGCCCACCCTGCCCACCCTCTCCTTCCGTCCCAAGGTGAGCTAGCCTTTGCAGAGCCCGGGGAGGGGCATGGCGGTGCTAGGTGGCTGGGAGTGTCCTCTGGCAGGATGTACATCTGCATCCCAGCTAAGAGCAGCAGGGACGGGGGCTTCCCAAAGGACAGCAAGGAGGTGGGCAGGGGATTCTCTGTAACAGCCATTGGACAAAGCATTCAGCATCTCTATCTCCTCGTCTGCTGAGCGGGGTCGATAATATCTGCCCTGCAATATCTATCCCTGCAGGGTATTGGGAGGCTCATATGAGATAATGTTTGTGACGGTGAACTGTATGTTAAAAAGGGCTATATGCATTCATTCACTGAACAAATATTTGTTGAGCACCTATGTGCCTGGTGCTGTTCTAGGCCCTAAACGAGATGGGCGAGGTTTATCGTTAACCACCGGGCCAAGACTAATTATCATCATTATTATTGTTATTACCGCACATCCCCCTGAGGTAGATCGAGAAAGGAGCAATACTGATTGAAATGGCCATTGCCTGGAGACTGCTGGAAACGCTCTCGTTATGCCAGTGTGTGCCACCAGGTGGCGCTATGGAGCGCCACCAGTCTGAACTTCCTTCCATCACCAGCCTGCTCTTGCGGTAGATCAGCACCCTTTCACCATGGGCTGACTATCTCGTTCCTCTTCATGCCCCTAGGGCCTGATGTGCCCAGACCACAAGGAAGAAGTGACCCACTACTGCAAAACGTGCCAGCGGCTAGTGTGCCAACTCTGCCGTGTGCGGCGTACCCACAGTGGGCACAAGATCACACCAGTGCTCAGTGCCTACCAGGCCCTCAAGGTGAGGACCCCTCCTCACTAGACCCCAGAGCTAACTCACACTCGCCCCCTCTACACCTCTCAACTGCTGGCTTCTGCCAGGCCGGGCATGACGCCCACCTCTTTCTTCCCCCTCAGGACAAGCTGACAAAGAGCCTGACATACATCCTGGGAAACCAGGACACGGTACAGACCCAGATCTGTGAGCTGGAGGAGACCGTGAGGCACACCGAGGTGAGGGAGGGCATGGAGGTGGGCCCTGGGCCCTGCCTGGGAGTGGGGCAAGAGGGGCTGCCAGTGGGAACAGCCCAATCACCTGGTTGCAAGTTTGCAGGAGGCCTGTCGGCAGGGGGCTCCACGTGAGGTGAGGTTGTGGTTAAACCAGGTTGGCAGGAACACCAATGCCCTGGGTCAGGCTGTACCTGGGGCTGCAATGGGGGCAGGGTGGCTATAGCTCAGGACAGGGAGAGCTCAGAAAGCCCCAGGGGCATAGCTCAAAAGCCTGCAGGCCCAGCCTGCTGGGGATGGCATGCACGACTGGAGGTAGGAGCTAGAGTGAGGCTGTGCCAGATTGCTTAAATCAGCTGGCACAGTGATAGGCAATAAGATGGCACAGAGGCCAGTGGACGTGAGCGCAAGCATGTCCTCATTTATTTGGGGGGTCCTTAATGGGTCAGGGTTATAAGGCAGGCATCCTGGAAGGTTAGCACAGATGGTCAGGAGCTGAGCCCACCTGGGTAGCCATGAGCTTGGCCGGCCCTGTTAGAATGAGTGGGTAGGATTTTCCCCCATCCTTTGTGACCCTAGCTGTGGAGTGGTGGCCTGGAGGCTAGCACAGGTGCTTCCATCAAAAGTGGTGCCTCCTGCGGGTGTTTCTCCTTGGGCAGGTGAGCGGTCAGCAGGCCAGGGAAGAGGTGTCCCAGTTGGTGCGAGGGCTGGGGGCTGTGCTGGAGGAGAAGCGGGCGTCGCTGCTTCGGGCCATTGAGGAATGCCAGCAGGAGCGGCTGGCCCGGCTCAGTGCCCAGATCCAGGAGCACCGAAGCCTGCTGGATGGCTCAGGTCTGGTGGGCTATGCCCAGGAGGTGCTCAAGGAAACGGACCACCCTTGCTTTGTGCAAGCGGCAAAGCAGCTGCATCACAGGTACCTACAGTGTGGGACGGGGGTGCCATGGGTGTAGCCAACATCTAAGATGATACCCAGAGTACTGCCAGGGGGAGAGCTGGGGCCCTGAGCATCATCATAAGACCAAACTGATGCCCACTTGCTCCAGAGAGCAGGGCAGAAACCCAAAGCAGATTCCAAGGCTCTAGGGACAGGAAGGGAGAATCAAGGGGAAGGTGGCTGTCCAGCTGGCAGTACCTGACCCTTGCCTGCCCCCATTCCAGGATTGCCCGAGCAACTGAGGCCCTCCAGACCTTCCGGCCAGCTGTGAGCTCCTCCTTCCGCCATTGCCAGCTGGATGTGGGGCGTGAGATGAAGCTACTGACGGAGCTTAACTTCCTGCGAGGTAAGGAGGTGGCCAGGCCCCATGCCCAACCAGAGCCTTCCTCCCTTCCTTCCCAGCAGCGGGCCCGGGGGGCAGTGCCCACCAGGGACCTCCCCGGCCTCCTGCCCGGCCTGGCCAGCCACTCCTCCCACCCAGCCCCCCCTGCCACACCGTCCCACCGCGCTCAGCGCTGCTTCTCCCTCTCTTTGTTTGTAGGCTGTGGCCACCGCGGACTCTGCTCCGGAGCACCCCAGGCAAGTCGGGGGCCCTGCCCCCCGCCGGGCCCCTACCCTGCCCTGCCGCTCCCACGCAGCTCGGCCACCCCACTCATTGCCTCGTTCTCTTTGCCACCTTAAGCAGACTTCTTGGCCCTCCCACTTCACCGCTGTCCTCTGTCTCTCTACTACCTTCTTCAGGCTCTTGCTCTTCTGCCCTGTTGCCCTTGTGACCCTTGCCCTCTGGACTTCCATGACTCCCCGTGACCTCTACCCCGCCCTCAAGCTTGTGCTTTGCCTCGTCATCCCCCCATTCTCTATCTTGCCAACTTTTGCCTCTCCCTCCCGATTCTGCTGTCCCCTCTTCTGCCCAGTACCCTCTGGCCTGGGTCCCAGTGGCCTCTGCCTGCATTCCCCCCGGGTCTCCTCTCTCCATTCATAGAACTCCAAGGCTAGAGGGCCCCCAGGGCTTATCTGGTTTGATCCTCTCAGTTGACAGAGGAGGAAGTTGAGGCCCAGAGAGGGACAGCGACTTACCTAAGGGCGCAGTGAGCTAGTGGCAGAACTAGAACACAGACCTCCGACTCCCTGCCCGGTGCTCCCCTGCCTTCTTTTTCTCCCTACTCTTGGGCTCTGCCCTGCCCAGATGGGTCTCTGCCCCACTCCCTCTCACCCACACTCACCCCCCGGCTCCCGCTGCTTCCCGTCTTCCTGCCTGCCCCTGCCCTCCAAGCCCGGCCGGTGGCCAGGCCCTGACTGACCCCGCTGTTTCTCCCAACAGTGCCTGAGGCGCCTGTCATTGACACCCAGCGCACCTTTGCCTACGACCAGATCTTCCTGTGCTGGCGGCTGCCCCCCCACTCGCCACCTGCCTGGCACTACACCATTGAGTTCCGGCGCACAGATGTGCCCGCCCAGCCGGGCCCCACCCGCTGGCAGCGGCGGGAGGAGGTGAGGGGCACCAGCGCCCTGCTGGAGAACCCCGACACGGGCTCCGTGTACGTGCTGCGTGTCCGTGGTTGCAATAAGGCCGGTTTTGGCGAGTACAGTGAAGACGTGCATCTGCATACGCCCCCAGCACCTGGTGAGTGAGCTGGCGGGGGCACGGTGTGCCAGGCATGAGGGGCCCTGAGGAGGGCATGGAGCAGGCAGGGCCCCAGGCGTCGGCACTGGTTCAGGGTGGGCACTGCAGAGGTGATATAACATATGGGTCACGTACACTAGCTCTGGAGGCCGACTGCCTGGGTTCAAATCCCAGCTTTGCCTCTTACCAGCTGTGCAGCTTTGGGCAAGTTTTTCAGCCTCTCTGAACTTCAGCTTCCTCTTTTATAAGCCAGGAATAATAATAATAATACTTACCCCATAGGGTTGTTGTGAGAAATAAACAAGATAGGATACGTGTAAGGTGTTACACGGTTTTTGGCTCTGAGTAGGGGTTCAGTCAATGTTAGAAAAGTCTAGAAAATAGTGTGGTCCCTGGGGTGTGGGCATGATAGGGGAGCATCACCACCCATGCAGGGGGCATAAGAGGTAGGGCTTGGGTGTAAGGGCCAAGTGTGAGCCGTGGTGTGGGACTGTCACCAGGGGGACAGAACAAGAATGGGACTGTCCATAGGACCAGCCACAGGAACAGGGTTGGAGGAAGCACTGTGGCTCGGCTGGGCCTGGGAGACTGGTTTCTGTGCCCACCTGCCACCACTGAACTCTTCCTGAGGCCCCACGCCCATTTGGGATTCACCTTCTTGTTTCCTTATGCCCCCATGCCAGTTCCCCAGGCCCTGTTGCCCTGTACCCTGACCCATTCCTGGTGGCTGAACCCCTTGGCAACTTGTTCCATTTGGAGATCTCCCAGTGTCCTCTGCTGACACCTCACAGTCCCCGGTGTCAGTATTTGTCCCTGAAGCCTTCTGCCTCACCTCTCCCTTCCCCCCAGTCCTGCACTTTTTCCTCGATGGCCGCTGGGGCACAAGCCGAGAGCGGCTGGCCATCAGCAAGGACCAGCGTGCCGTTCGGAGCGTTCCAGGGCTGCCCCTGCTGCTGGCTGCTGAGCGGCTGCTGACCGGCTGCCACCTGAGTGTGGACGTGGTCCTGGGTGATGTGGCCGTGACCCAGGGCCGCAGCTACTGGGCCTGTGCTGTGGACCCAGCCTCCTACTTGGTCAAGGTGGGCGTCGGGCTGGAGAGCAAGCTTCAGGAAAGCTTCCAGGGCGCCCCTGACGTGATCAGCCCCAGGTCAGGCCCCTCTGGAAGGGGTGCGGGGACCCTGGGTGGGACCTGGGGGTGGGGTGGGGAGGGGTGGGGCTGGGGAGGAATCAGAAAGAGGTGGTAGGAGCGGGGAAGCCAGGCTGGGAGACCTGTGGCCTCGGCTTAGCAAAAGGGCTTTGAGGATTGATCTTCAGAGTGTGTGGTTGGGGAAGGGGATGACAGAAGGAGGAGCCATCTATCTCCACTTCCTTCCACCTGTCATTCAGGACCACCACACCATCCCTCGAAGGCCCCATGTCCTTTGTCCCCAGTGCCCCATTCCCAACATTCTTTCTCCACAAAATCCTTTGTCTCCAGTGCTTTTCACTCACGTCGTTTCTCAACATCCTAAAATTTCCCCGAAACATGCCACCTCCATCACCCTTTCATCCCCAACATCCTATTTGAATACCCACCCCGACACGTGCCTCTCTCCCTGAACCGTTTCTCCCCAGCACCCTCTCTTCAAAATGCTTTCTCCCAGCACCAGTTCCCTCCTAAACCCTATTGTCCCAACCCAACATCCCTCTACCTTCATGACACCAACCCACCCTCATCTCTCCTAATACCCACCTTCCCAGCATCCTTTCCCTGTCCCCCACCCCCACCCCCCGTATCTTGTTCACTAACCCCTCCTCCTTCCAACATCCTCTAACCCTCAAAACCCTCTCCTCGGCATGATGTTCCGACGCCATTTTCCTCACCACCTTCCTTTCTCGGTAGGCATCCGTTTCTGCAGTGTGCTTTATCAACACCTTGTCTTTCCTTCCCCCCAACACCTCTCTTGCCAGTGTTCTTTACTCTCAATGCCCCTTCCTCAGCAGACCCAACCTCCAACACTCTGTATAATCTGTCTCTTCAGCGTGTTTTCTCCTCAAACCCAAAGTCCATCTCTTCAACTTCTCGCCCTCCAACCTTCCATTCTTCCAACATCTCAGCCCTCTGGTTCCCCATACTCCATCGTCCTACTCCATCCCCCAACATCTCCTACCCAACACCCACTCCTGCAGGTACGACCCAGACAGTGGACATGACAGCGGTGCCGAAGACGCCACAGTGGAGGCGTCGCCACCCTTCGCCTTCCTAACCATCGGCATGGGCAAGATCCTGCTGGGGTCCGGGGCGAGCTCAAATCCTGGGCTGACAGGAAGGGACGGCCCCGCAGCCAGCTGCACAGTGCCCTTGCCGCCCCGCCTGGGAATCTGCCTGGACTACGAGAGGGGCCGTGTTTCCTTCCTGGATGCTGTGTCCTTCCGCGGGCTCCTGGAGTGCCCCCTGGACTGCTCAGGGCCTGTGTGCCCAGCCTTCTGCTTCATTGGGGGTGGTGCGGTACAGCTACAGGAGCCTGTAGGCACTAAGCCGGAGAGGAAGGTCACCATCGGAGGCTTTGCCAAGCTGGACTGACCCTCTCAGCTCCCTATTCTGGAGTTGGGCGCCTCCTGCGGCCTGGCTCCCCAAGCCTCCTTGTGCTGGGTGATTCCCCCTGGCAGCTCCTCCCCCAAACTTCCTACCACATGGTCCTGCCCCGTACCCTGTGTCCGTGTCTCCCCAGGATCTTCTCTTGACCAACAGGTTCTCCTCTGTTCACCTCTCTGGAGGCCCCCAGCTCACCAATCTCTGCCCGGTGCCCTTCCTTGGCATCTTACCCAAAGTCATGGAGAGAGTCCCTACCCCATCCCTGTCCTGTCCTCCTCCAAGGCTGATTGGGAGGGAGGGTACCTGGAACACTGGGCATGATCTCCAGCTCTGCCCTCTGTTCTGCCAAGCTCCCTGCCTCAGGGATGCTGAATTACACACATCCTTGGGGTGGGCAGGCTTCTGGGCCAGACACTGCCCAGGCACTTCCTGGTGAAGGGAAGGGGACCCTGCCATCCTGCTCTGTTTGGGTCCTCATGCCCCCAGCCGCATGCCCCGTATGCCCTTCCCGTCCTTGCATGCTTTACTTGTTCTACACTCATGCCAGCGTGCCAAGTCTCCCTTGGGGCCCCAGCTGAGGCTAGATGTCCCCATTGGGTTGGGCCAGGCAAGGTTTCTGGTGCCTGCTGCTGCCCCCTGCGGTGGGTACCGCTAGGCCTGTGCCAAGCAACAGCTGTTATTTTCATGGTTTATAAACAATAAACTGTGATGCCAGGCACTTCTCTGCCTTCCCTGAGCCCGATCTTTCTTCATGGTTTCTGTGCTTGGTGTGGCAGGCGGAAGGGATCCAGGGTGCTCTGCTGTTGTTCCAGGGCAGGGGTGCCCGGTGGATCCAGCACCTAAAGGAAGGAAGACCCCTAGGCCAGGGCTCCGGAGTCTCCCGCCACAGACTGTGTGCCCCGCCCTAGCCCACCACGGCCGCCAGGGGGCGCATCTTTCTGGTTGACGGTCGCAGCTCCGCGACGGGGCGTCCCGGCGGCGCCAGCCCCTGGGAGAGTGTAGTTGACGGGGCGGGCATTGTGCCTGAGCTCAAAGGAGTCAGGGAACCAGAACCACTTCCCCATTCCCAGGGTGTCAGGGAGCAAACCCCAGAGCCCCCCGGGTGGGGCGGCGAGGAGCGAGGGAGGGAGGGAGCTGGGCCTGGTGCCAGCATCCGGATCTGACCCAGCCCCCACTTATCCTGGCCGTGTTGACTCTGCCGCTGTTATCACGGCCCAAGGATCTACTTCACACCCGGCAGCTAAGAATACAGCCGTCTGGGGGCACTGTGCCAAGGGGTGAAGGCGTGGGCTGCGCTGGCTCAGATGAGACTCAGGCCCGAGGAGACCGGAGAGCCACCAGGGCGCCCAGGTGGAGTCCAGTCGGGAAGGCCCTCCCAGGCCCGCGTAGGTTTCGTTTCCTCCTTCCTCCTGCGCCGCCGCTGATGGGGGGAGAGGTGACTCCTTGGCTCTGCCCCTGGCCACCCATGTGCCCCAATGTCTCCTCTCCATCCCTGCTGTTTTGTCCTCAAGTGAGTCAGTCGCTTCCTTTCCTCCCAGTCTCCTCCCCAGAGGCCCCACCCCACCCCCTACGTACACAGGCACGCTGACCGCCCCTCTTATCTCTGAGGGTCACAGGTGAAGGATCGTAAGTTGGAGGCCAGCGGGAGGCCTACGTTTTATTCAGCAGCCAAGTTCAGGTTTCCACCCCCAACTCCAAGGCTTTCTGGGCCAGTCCATCTGGGGGTCACCACTGCCCGCTGGCCCAGCCAGCTCTTCTTGGGGCTGACATGGGCTTCACCAGGACTCAGGTTAGGGGCCTAGGTGCGGCCTCTGAGAACAGCTGTGAGCAGCCCACCTGGACTCCCAGCTCACCAGCCCAGAGAGTGGAGGGGCTCTGGCAGTGAGGAACAAGAGGGAGGCCGGAGGCCCAGCAGGAGTCCGGCCCCTATAAGTCGGCAGAACTGGCTGCTTCGTTCCTGAAGAAGACGCTGCCGCCACCGTTGCCCGCAGATACCTGGGTTGGGGGAGAAGGGACTCAGGGTGAGGGAAGGGTCACTTATTCAGAGAACCTGGATGGCACCGCAGGCTGGGGTAACAGCTCTAGGGGCCCAGCCAGCTCCCAAAGGGTTAATTCAGAGAGAGCACCTGCCGGGCCCCACCGGCAGCCAGGTGACTGTAAACAGGGCCTCTCCTCCTCCCTCTGGTTCCCTTCTCTCCCTCCCCTCGGCTCTAATCCGCCCCCATGCCCCCCTCCTGCCCCCTTCTCCCTCCAGTCTCTGCTCTTCCGGCCAAGGAGGGGTGTGTGTACAACAGAGAGAGAGGTCCCCAGGGGAAGGCAAAACAGGGAAGAAAAGAAACTCTCCCCTCCCCCACGGGGAGTGGGGCTCTAGCCCCAGTGGCCACTATAATTATTTACTAGGTCCCGTAGGGAAAGGCCAGGAGAGGCTCCTGCTGGCACCCAGGCTCACCTGGCTCGGGGAAACTTCTCCCTCCTTCACGTCAGAGATCCCCCACCCCACCCCCTACCTCCACCGTCTTTCTCAATCTACGCTGCATTCTTAGGAAGTGGGTGGGAGCACTGGTGCTCAGTCCTTGTGACCTCTGCAGGTAAGGCTCCCCTGGGCTCAGGGCCCCACCCATTTCACCCTTGGCATCCAAGCGAGCGCCAGCCACCGCACTAGCTCAGCCAAGCGGTGAATGTGGACAGGCAGTGCCTTTTGGGAATGTCGGTAGTGGGGCACTCCCTCGTGACTTCCCGTAAATAACCCCGACTCATACAGACCCCTTTTTTCTAGTCCCCTTTCTTCCCTGGTCTCCTCCCCAGGCCTTTCCCCCTAGAATTCCTCTGACCTCCACGCCCCTCCTTGCCAGCCCCTCCACCGCTTACCTCCTGCCACCTCTTACCTCTTCCGAGCTCTTTAGATTTTTCAAGTACCCCCTAAGAACCCCTGCCCCAGTCAAGCCCCTGCTCCCCCTCCCCAGCCTGTGGAGCCCATCATCACCTCCTCCTCAGGTCTGGTACTGCCAGGAGGCACATAGCGCCCATGTGTGTGGTAGGTGGGGTACTCGCTCATAGGGTGGTAGGCGTCACGGGTTGGAAAGACATCCAGCTGTCCATGGTTCTTTCGGCGGCACTGATGCACAGCCTGGGCAGAGAGGGGGTTTGGGTGGGCCATGGGGCTCCCTCTGGCAGGGCAACTCTGTCAAGGCCAGAAACGACACTCACCAGGGCAACGAGATAGATGACGGCCAGCGCCACCAGGACACAGACCAGCACCAGCAGGGCAATGCCCCAGCCTGGTACCCCAGACCCAGATGGGGCAGAGGAAGAAAAAGGCGCATCGGACACTAAAAGGAAAAACAGTGGTCAGGGCATCTTTCAAAGGGGGCAACCCTTCCCTCACCAGCTCAGAAAGGGAGAGCCAGAACCCAGATGCTAGAGGAGAGGACCCTTGGTGTGGCGTGGGGCTGCATCTGGGGAAGTGGTCTCACCACGGACTCCTGAAATGCGCAGGTTATTTCTGTCTGGGTTTGCTGAATACTGAACAAACCGATACTCCACGTCGCTGGCGTTGGTGGTACCCGCTTGGAAGGCGAGAGCTGATTCTACCACCACAGATCCTGGCCTGGTCACAGGGACACGGGCAACTTGGCCTCAGCATGTGCCCCCCAAGCACAACCACAAATGCACCAGCCCCTCCCCACGACGTGCCAACATCCACCCACCCTCTCCCACACAGAGTCCACTGCCTGGAACTGTACCTGAACTTGATAATAGAGAAGCCCAGATAATCTGCTCCTTCATAGATCTGTGAAAACTGGTGTGAGAGGGACAGGACTCAGGCTTGATGCTAGGGGTTTGAGTACTGGCTGCTTCAGGGGAGCATGGTGGAGGAAAGGCAGATACTCACCAAATTAGAAATGTTTCTCTGCAGTTCTTGGTAGTAGTTGGTGCTGGGGTCTTCCAGGGAGGAGTTAAACTGAAGATTCAAAATGTCGAAAGAGAGGAAAAACAAGGAGACCCTAAGAGACAATTGGGAAGAAGTGCTAGGATTGAAGGAGGTAGTAGAAACTATGCTAGAAGTAGTGCTACCGGCAAAAGTTCTGGAACTGTGGCCAGTAGGGATGATGGGAATATCAGACTGGTGGCTAGGAACCGAAGATACAGTACTGTTGCCAGTTGGGGTGCCATGTTGAACTGGAGTGATAGTTGAGCCTGAGGCAGGGCTGGTGGCTGTGGCAGAGACGACATTGCTGACTGGAGGGATGGC